ATAGTTATAAAATTAATACATATTAACACACATATATAGAAAATAATTGTTACATATATAATATAACATTTATTATTATATATTTAATATATTATTAGTTACTTGAAATATGTTATACATTTATATTCTTTAATTTATAAAAAATTATATGACACTATTTTTCATTTTTATATATTTAAATGATTGTAATAAAAATAATAAAATAAAATCTCTCTCTTCAATAATATTATAAAATGTGTCTTTTTTAGCTTTTATTATTTTCAATACAAAGTTTATTTATGTTGTGAGTTGTAACATAAATATGCTTTTTTTGAAAAAGGATTCACAAAAAAATATGTTTTAATTGCCTTAATAACAGAACGTAGGATTATAAAAGTATAATTTTACCTATATGTAACAATAACATTGTTACAATCCTATCCATTTAATATTGATTAATTTTCATTAATATTTATTAATTATGCATTTTTTAAAGCTTAATAAAACATGAACTTTAAAAAATCTTCAAGTAATATACATATATTTATAGCAATTTTAATTTTAAAAAAACTTTTTATTGGAAGTATATATATCAACTTTAAGAGATTAAATACAAAATTATCAATTTTTACATAAAAATTTTAATTTATCTTGATTATATTTACTATGAAAAAGGTGCAGTGCAATATATTGAAACTGAGTCACATTTACAATTTAATAATCACAATTTAATTACCATAATGGTAAATAATCATGACTTATTGATACGCATAGTATTTATTGTTTACTTAGTTGTTACACATTGTTTATTTAATATTTATTGCAAAGGGATGTTAGAGAGAAATAAAAATGAAACTTCGAAAATAAAATTATAAAAGTTTGCAGAATATGCTTCTAGCAAAATTGTATACATCGATACCGTAATTTTCGTAAAATCATCTATATTGCGTAACTTCCATTTCAGATTCTTTGCGCGATCATTTGACGCATGGTATAGACAAAGAATTATAAAAAAACTGAGCGACATCTGAATCATATACAACAAAAAATCGAAAACTCCATCAACTTTCAGAATATTATTGCATAGATAGTTCTACTTTTATCATAAACATTAATTTAAGACTCTGTAAACAACATTAAATACGCGAATCGAGAACTGAAAACTAGCATATTGTAATAAATAAAATAATTTATTGTGTATGTCTAATTAAAATTTCAATAATAAAAGTTTTAGTTTTTTTGTAAGAGTTTTGCAATTAATTGCCCCCATTATATTTTTTGAATATTATTGTACTCTTTAACAAATCGATAATTTCTCTTTTCATATTTTAATTTATTCCTAGATAAAAATGATATTCTGTTTCATTTGAATCCTTTCATTATTTTTCGCTTTGTCTCATTTCACCTGCTCCGACATATTAATATTAGAAATGCAAAAACGTCACTTCAGCATTCGATGATGATTTACTAGCGCAACAATATTTTGAAAATATTCTTATATAATATTATCATACAATTTCTGTTCAAGTATTGTCAATCTATAATTTTATATATATAATATTTATTATAATATTAGCATAAAAAGTAATATTTTATATAGTTTAACATTTATTTTTATTTCTAATATTATTTTATTAATTATTGAAAAGTACATATGAAATTAACAACAACATAAAAAAATTCGGAAATTAACATAATAATGATTCTTAAAATAGAGATATAGATTTTATTCCATCCTAAATTTTGTAGGACTCGACCTAACGTATTTATTATGATATCTATTACATCGATATTCTAAGACAACCTTATGTATTTAGCCTTATTTTGTTATGATATGTGACATCGACATTTTTAGTTCTCGATTACCTCTCGAAACGGAAAGATTACGATAGTTTAGATATATGAGTGATTAAAATGTAACAATATTAACGCTTGTGAAACAATTGTAATTAATTCTTCTAATTGTAAAGAAACAGAAACTATATTATAATTGGCATTGATTTTTAATATATAAGGTAAGTCGCTAAAAACAGAATATTATGTATTTCTCTTTTTAAGAGTACATAGAAGATATATAGAACGCAATTAATAGTATTACGGTATCAACATGATGAGCACAGATAATATATTACAATGTTAGAAATTGCAATGTTTATTACCATGCACGCGTTTAAATTATTCTATATATTTTTTTGTAATGATATAAAGTCAATTTGTGTGCAAAGTTTCTTTAAATTCGATTACTCAAACGAATAACGAACAAGCAATAAATGTCTATATTTTCTTGTTGTTAAAAAAGTATATATATGTAATATATAACATATATTAGTAGCAAATTAACTAATAAAGTCTTCGTATGATATATATTAGTAGAATAATCAAATCGTGTTTGATATAGTTTGTTATATGTATGTCTGAAAACATACAAATATCAAAAAAAAATTGAAAAAAATTTAATTGTCTGTTGGTTGGTTTTGTGTTACCAGTTCACTAAAGATATATTTATCTAAAAAATGAAACAACAAATTTTGAAAATAACATGTTGGCAAACATAAGTCGATCTATCATAGAAATATTGAATACGGATGAAATTTGTTGTTACTCAAGAAAACTAACTCTCTCTCTCTCGAGAAAGTTGATATTTTATAGATTGTCTGTTGTAAATTTTATTGTCTCAATTTGATTTTAAGCCCACTTTACACGATCTATAATTTGCAACAGAATTCAAGACAGAATTCTATTTATAATTTTTATGCGTAGTGTAATACAGAAAACATGTGAACAATCAGAATTATAACTATCATGCTTTATTTTTATAAATAGAAAAAACGCATGAAATATGCGCAATGTATCTATGATTGGTGAATTGTAAATGACATAAACTACAAGTTAACCTACTCTCGTATCTGCTTAATAATCTAAAGAAAGAAAAGAAGAAAAAAAATATATGTGGCAATGTCTTGGT